ATATAAATGCAGCTCGGAAAACAAACCTTCTGGTGGAGCGTCGAGCCTAAGGTTGCCGAAGTCTAATTCCCCGGTCGAACCTTATAACCTATTACGCGAGCTATTAATCTAAGTGGACTGTATCTACTAAATGTTTCTACACTTATATAAACGGCAACACGGCAACTATAGCATGCGGTACAATGCACTCGCTCTTCCCTAAAACGAACTATTATTTGCCAAATCGATGAAAGGAATCCTGCTTGATTAGGAGAAAACAAAATTGGAGCGGGTTAAAACACAATTATATCAAGCAGGCAATACAGGCAATATTATTAGGAATATTGACTCACCGGGGTGTCTCTTCTCTGCTGTTGGGCACTATAGCTGCGACTTCTGGAACTTCTTCTGGACAGACACTCTGGAGAGAGGCGGTGCGCGACTATATCTCACACGAGGTGAGGCGGGTTTCCTGGAGCTTGACTGCTTCCAGGCTAAAGCGGTTCTACTAGCGGTGTGGTTCCAACTACGAGCGCGGCGGGAAGAGGGCGCGCGTTTTTTTTTTTTTTTTGCGCCCGAAGCAATTAAAGGGCTAACCTATACGTAGGGAGGCGGAAAATGCATTACGCATACCACGATAGCCGGTCTATCGTGGTTATGAGGGGCTCACTGTCCTACCGGGGACCCTAAGTGATACCCTCTAAAAACCGCCTTTGGGGACAGGCAACCGGCTGATTAAGCTCTATTGTGCCTTATCATGAGCGACCCTCTTTTGGGAAAAGAGGGCGCAGGCGGCTAAGTGCCGCTGAGGGAGTGCCTACGAAGGCAAATTAATGTTAGATATTACAACAATTTTATTTAGTTAGAGTTGGCCTGAGCCGCTAGGAGACAGTTCAGGTCGTTTGAAAGTTTATTTGGCGGGTCCGCGAGAGAGGTTCTCGGCCTGCGGACACGATCGCGCGAGGGGGGGGGGGCTGCATAAGAAGCTGCCTCACGAATTAAATGGTTTGGGTGCGACTCTGAGGCTTTGAAGAAGTTCTCAGAGAGTTTTTTAAAAAATTGTTGGGAGCTCTAAGTCCCGATGAAGGTCGGCATTACGGACGTACCACGGTGCGTTCGCAGCTCGACGACAGAAGAGGTTCTGAACTATTTGGAGTTCATTTAAAATGTTAGGGTTTGCGTGGGCAAAGACGGGGCCCGCGTAGGACATGACTGGTCGTATACATACCTTGTAGAGGGTACGCTTGTTTCGAAGGGACATTTTACTGTGTCGGCCCAACATACTGTTGAGCCTACTCAGATAAAACCGTGCGTGACGGGTTACTCTTTTGACGTGGGGCTTGAAAGTGAGTGTCTAGAGTGACACCTAAATATTTGGCGGACGTATGCCAGGGGACAGGGGTCCCTAGCATACGTATTGGTGGAGTGTTTTTGTGACGGCGTCGTTTATAATCGAAGTGGACGGCTGAGCTCTTCTCCGGGTTCACATCGATGCGCCATTTTTTGAACCAAGCTCCTAGGTCATCAACTGACTTTTGGATCTTGTTCCGTATAAGGGGTAGTGAGACACCTTTGCAGTAGATGGCAGTGTCATCTGCAAAGAGGGAGAGTTGAACACCTTTCGACGGGATGGGAATGTCGTTGGTGAACAGGATGTACAGCAGAGGAGCAAGTACTGAGCCCTGAGGGACACCAGCCTTGATAGTTCGCTGTGAAGAAAGCGTGCCTTCGTGTCTGAAACGAAAGGTACGATGTTTTAAATAGGAGGCCACGAGACGAACTAGACGATCGGGGAGACCTATTTTATAGAGCTTGTAGATGAGGCCTGTGTGCCAGACTATCGAAAGCTTTGGCTATATCGAAAAAGACCGCGATGGTCTTATGACGACGAGGATAGAAACCGCTGAGGATATATTCCACAATGCGGTGAACTTGTTGGGGACATGAGTGTTTGGCTCGGAAGCCGAATTGATGGGGAATGATAAGAGAGTCGCCGTCTGTGGGAAACACATAGCGCCTCATACGAATTTGGATGACTCTTTCGAAGAGCTTGCCCATTGCCTTGAGGAGGCTAATGGGGCGATGGCTGGAGGGGGAGGTTGAGAGGCTTGCCTGGCTTGGGAATTCCAATCACAGTAGCCTCTTTCCACGTAGTGGGAAAATAACTAAGGTTGAAGCAGGCGTTGTAGATAATAGATAAAAAGGTTAACACCTGCTCGGGAAAGTGTTTTAGGGCTTGGTTGGAGATGCCATCCGCGCCCGGAGCCTTTTTAGGCTTAAGTCCTTTGATGAGGGATCAAATCTCATCATTGGACACAGAAATAGGTTCGGAGGCCGTGGGGGGTGAGTTCCGGCGGCGGACCTCATCCTCCACTGCCTGGACGTGTGAGGGGTCGACGGGTTGAGAACTGGGAGAGCATTGAGCGGCAATGCTATCTGCAAAGCACTCAGCCTTTTCCTCGTCCTCGAAGGCAACCGTGCCGTCGGGACGGGAGAGAGGGGGAGTGTGGGTGATAGCGTCTATGCGGAGGGCTCTAGCCATCTGATAGTACGCTGTGTGAGATGGAGAGATATTCTCCATGAGCTTACTCTTTTCGAGATCTTGGAATTCAGAGAGGCGGAAGCGGAGTTTTCGTTGAAGACGATTGGCCGCGCGCCTGTATTCGGGGGTGGGATATTTTGCTGCTCTCCGGAAAGCAGCTTTTTTGGCTTTTAATAGGTTGCTAATGTGTAGGGGAAGCCCACTATTGTTAGCAACCGGGACGACCCTTTCGTTCTCCTTAAGGGAGGATTTAATAAGGGTGGAGAGTGAATCGACCGCGGTGTCGATTTTTTCGGGACTGTCTAAGTCCGACGGTATGGGGATGGTAGAATCCTGTGAGTCCAGAGCTTTAGCTAGGGACTCCTTGAATCCCTTCCAGTTAGTGAAGGTTTTCGTGTGTGTTGGGGGAGGTGGCTGATGGCCAAGAATGAGGGAGACCGGTCGGTGATCTGAACCCAGATCGTCTAGTGTCTCGATTGCTCTGAGGTTGAGAGAAACTCCTTGGAGTAACGCAAAATCTAATACATCGGGTGCGTGATCGGTGTTATCGGGAAAGTGAGTAACACCGAGAGGACTATGGACGGTAATATCAAGAGACTGCGTGATATCGAGCAGTATCTTGCCACTAGGGGACGTAGTGCGGCATGTCCATTCAGTATGCTTGGAGTTAAAATCTCCAAACATAATGACTGAATTGCCCAAGGATAAAATGGCCTCAAAATCTTTTTTGAGGGGATAGGTTCCTGAAGGGATGTAGCAGGAGGCTATGAGGATGGACTGATGTCCAGTCATAGCTAGCCTGCATACCGTGGCTTCCATGTTGGTAAGCTGCGGAGTAGAAATGGGGGGAGCAATGAAGTGTCTTCTTGTAATAGATGGCCGTTCCGCCACCTCGGCGGTCGGGTCTGTCATTACGAAGAAGAGAGAAGTTTTTAATAGAAAGGCCTCTAGTGTCCTTAGCTTTGAGATTAGTTTCCTGTAGGAGGAGGAAATCGACTTCACGATTTCGAAGAAAGAGCTTAAGCTCTGGGAGGTTATTCCGCAAGCCGCGAATATTAAATGATACAAGCGATAAACCCTTAGGTTTGATACGACCGTGGGATCTTGGTAGGTTAATTTGCTCAGACATTGGAGTTAAGTTAATTAAGTTAACTTAACTTACAACGCTAGCAGAAGATCGTTGTGTTCAGCAAGAGCGAGGAGACGCTCTTTAGGGGACTTCGCCGCGCGCAGTTTGCGTGCTATAACGGTGATCTCCCTAACATCGATATTCCTAATCGCGGAATATAGCGTGTTGTAGTCGTCGGGTGTGGGCTTTGCCTCGTGTGCGTACGAGGTTGTCCGCGGTGGGTCTGCCTTTTTGGGCCCCCAGGGAAAGACTGGAGGCTGCATTGGCTTGGAGAAGCCCGGAGGGGGGCCGAATTATGCCCTGAGGGGGCCTAGGGGGACCCTGAGAGGGTCGAGGGAGGCCCTGGATAGGCTGAGAAGGGCCCTGACGGGGCCGTTGTTGGAGGGCCGGGAATGAGCGGTCATTCACCGGCGGTGGAGCTTTCCTACTGGGGCGAGGTTGAGGTGCGCGTGGGCAACCCTTGTAGTTCGCCGGGTGTCCTGTCTGGTTGCACAGGACACAGGCGGGCGGGGATTCGGCGTCTTTGGGCCGGGGACACTCTTTAGTGTTATGAGGTTCCAGGCACTTCACGCACCTGGCTGGGTGGGGCGGAGCAGTTGGCCGCCGCGTGACCATAAAGTTGGCAGCGGTGGCACTGCGCCGGGAAACCGGGCCTATGTGGGGGCTCTACCTTCCCCCTTGACAGGCCGCACACTGTGCGCACCTGCCGGAAGATGGCTTTAGCCTCCGGCACGTTTGTCAGGATTACTAGGGCAAGGTTGTATCTCTTGCCCGTTCTATTGTGCATTTTGTGCACTGCTTTACGGGGGAAACCTTGGGACTTAAGGTCCTCAAGGATTTCCTCGTTAGAGAATTCGAATGGGACGCCTCTGATGACGGCCCTGACTTTACGCTCTTCAGGGAGAGCGTACGTGTGGTAAGATACCCTTTCGGCTGTGAATAGCCGGGTGATTGCGCGGAAGTCCTCGATCGAGCTTGGAATGATTTTAATCGCCTCCCCGAGGTTGACGGCATGATCGTATTTAATACCTGCGTCGTAGCAGGTCTTAGACAAGTGGGTGAACTTAGCCTTGTCTCTTAGGAAGACAGGGGGCGGGACTTGCTTCTTCGCTAGTACTGGAGCACAACGAGAGGCTGGTTTGGATGGTGTGGGGATGTCTAGTGACATCAGTGGGACGGGGGCAGCGTCGAGGGCTGCGGAGGGTGTAGGAGCGGCAGGGGCCGCTGAAGTTGGGGGGTGCGTTTTACAGCCCCGGATCTTCAATTTTTTTTAGGCGGGGCAAAAACTGAAAAATGCCGCCCTCGCACACTTATTTTTATTTTTACCTTTATCGTCTATAATTTCAGCTATCAGATGTCCACTAATTGATTGACGTTTGGACATAGGCCTTCCGGAAATAATTCATCCATCGCTGTTCTTTCTGTGTTAAGTCTATTTATTTACAGATATATAGACATGAACATGTAGGATATGTATTTTATACACAGCACATGATAGGATTTAAAATAAAAATATGTATAATAAAAATAAAAATCAAATATATTATTGCATTTGTTAATTAAAATTACAATTTTACTCTTCGAGCTTTTTGTTCAGCAAATAAATCTATGGCCTTGTCATAATTTAACTCGTGGGCAATTTGATTTTCTATGGCTAAGATTGCAAGACTTGATAAGCGTTCCTGGCTCATAGAAGATCGCAAATAATTTTTAATTAGTTTTAGTTTGCTAAAACTTCGCTCACAGCTTGCGGATGTAGTAGGAAGCGTAGAGTAAATTCGCAGGGCAATACAAATATTAGGAAAAGCATCCTGCAAATCATGCGCATAGATCTGTTGCAAGAGATAGAAACTGTTAGCCTTTTCTATATCACCAAATAAAAGCGGAGCTTGCTCTTTTAAAACGTAGAGTTCCTGGCAGAATTCAACGGAGCTTAAATCTCGCTCGTATTTTCGAGCCAAATCTGCTCCATACTTTTGCAATTCTTCAATTGACATTCTCAAAATATTAGTACCATTAAGAAAAGCAAAATTCAAATTCAGCATGGTAGCACAATCAAACCTCTTTTTAATTTCTGATATGATTCGATCAAATACCATCATTATTTCATTAGAAAGTAGTTGAACAGGTTGCAGTGTTTGTAATTCGTCTTCACACATCTCATCAAAATGTTTTTTACGTTTCGGAATTCGTTTGTTTTGCAATATAGGGTCAACACCACTTTTTTCAGCAACTTCTCCAGCCTCTTTTATCCAATATTCCATTGGATTTTGTCTCATTTTTTGCAAAGTTTTGAGCAAACCATCCATTAGTGCGACGGAACGGGCAAGGATAATATCTTCTTTCTGAATTTCTATATTCACTCGATTGATTTCGCGGAGAATATTCGCCCAAATAGTTAAATTAAGAATAAATTTAAAATTCTTTATAGCAGTTAAGAGATGACCTGCTTTGTACTTAGCTTCTGGAGCATGAGAAGCTTGCTTAACTTCTTCTAAGGCTTCCGCTATTTCTGGCAAATTATTTAATAGGCCATTCACAGCAACATGTTTCGCCGACCATCTCGTCTGACTACTTCCTTTTAAATTTGTTTTAACGTATTTTTTCATAATGTCCCACCTAGTAGTGGAGCCAACAAAAAAGCAATATACTTTTTGAATCAGTCCAAATAGGTTAATAGCTTCCTGGCATGATGAGGCAGAATGAACACCTACAAGATTTAGGGAGTGAGCCAAGCACGGTACGAATTCGGCCAGCTCATTCCTTTCTGCAATCCTGGCTTGTACTCCTTTATGGATGCCGGCCATATTGGACCCATTATCATAAGATTGGCCACGACATTGTCCAATATCTAAATCATCAGCTACCAATTTTTCTAAAATCTGTTGACAAATGCCCTCTCCTGTCTTTCCAGCAACTTCTATGAAATCAATGAAACTTTCTTTTATTTCACACACATCGCCAGTTCTTTTTACATATCGAATTACCTGGCTCATTTTTTTCTGTATGGGATACATCTGGAGTGCAGTCGAACATTATCGTGTAGTATTTGGCTTCTTTGATGTCATTTAAAATGCTATTTTTAACTGTTTTTGCCATTATGTCAATTATTTCATTCTGTATTGTCTTTGATAAATATGATATTTGTCCCTTTTTTTAAGTGTTCTAATTGAAACTTAAGAGTTGAATTATGTTTGGCGAGCAGAGAAATTAAGTTCAAGAAGTTACCTTGACTAGGCCGAGGACACTGTGTGATGAGATCGCTAGGAGTTTCGTGGGACCCGCGAAAAGAAAGGCAGTTTATGGATAGATACAATACAGCATCCATAACAATACGCAGGATCTGTCTCCATTTTTCTTTCTCTGAGTGAATTACTCTCTCAATGTCTTGATCAATACCCTGGCATGATTTCATTTGTTGTACCCGTGTTTTCCACTTGATCATACACTCTTTATGCATTTGACTTGCTTCGTGTTCGGTTAATCTCTCTGAAACTTTTTTCCAATTAATAAATCCTGTAGAACACAATGCAGATGTGGCGGTAAAAGACGGTTTCTGGTAAATCTTGCAGCACGCACAAAATATTGCATTTTTTGTCTTAGAATATATAAGCCAAGATCTTTTAACTCTTTCGCAATTAGCCAACGTCCTGTACCACATAGAAGCTGTTAAATGTCTGCCATTGCGTTCAGTAGATCTAAATTCAATGTTTTCGGGGTGATTTTCTGCTAATAATACAGCTTGATTGCTAAAGAAAGACCGTTGTTGGTCGGTCATTTTTTCCACCCCTGGCCAATTGCCTGGGTCAGTCAAATCAAATCCAGTTTTTTGCAGTTCATCCGAATCCGAGTGCGGGGATTTAGATCCTTCGTATTCTGGCTTTGTTTTTTCAAGTTGTTCTCCGCACATCGATAAAGATGGTGAAGTTTGCACTGTGAAATCGGACTGTGAAAAATCTTGATCCGTTTGATCGGGCAAAGTGCGAGAAACATCCTCTAACTGAATATAAACTTCGGACGTTGCAGCAGATACTGACGGGTCACCCCCTCTGAGAAGCCAATTTTTCATATTATCTGCACATTGTTTTCCCTGCAACTCCTTATATTTAGCCCTTTTCCTATATTCCGCTCCCGATAGCTTTTTTCTTGGCGCGCTCATAATTACAACCTGTAAACAAAAATAATCAATTTCCAAGGGTGGCAACTATGGCAAATATCCCCTCTATGAGGTAATCTATGGGGGAGGCACCTATGTTCAGCAGTGAACTATAACAGGCTGTAACGGACAGACGGACGGAAAAATACTTGTTTTGTAGCCATTCCGCGCGATAGCCGCGAACCACCCGCAAACCGTGAGTGTAGAACCATTTCGCGTATTCTTCGCGGCTTCGCGCCTGTTTCGCGAGTCGTTCCCCGATTTTTGTCGGTTTTTTTGGTTTGTTGGAGCGTTACACTACAATTTACGAGCGGCGTAATGATATCGCGGAGCGCGCGCGATCACGTGGCAACCACCCGAGTTATAGGTACTAGTAATGGTAATTAATGCGATTTTGCATAAATTTCATTAGCATGCGAATTCTTGAGCCTTAGCGTGCTAATTGCTATTGCTATGCTATTTGCTAATATAACTATAATTGATATTACCTAAATAATTATATGAATTTTGTTATTATACGAATTAAGAGCGCGTTCGGCTTATGAAGGAAGGAGGACGTCGAGTCCTACCGTGCGTTTAGTTTCCTCGCCGATAACGTTTTATTTCTACTAGTACACTTGCATTGTGTTGTGATTAAGATAATGAATGATCATATTATTATAATTAAAGATATTTAACTAATTTAAAACCTTTTGATGTTTAAGTTTTTGTGAACCTTCATTCATACTTTATCCAGGCTTAGAACTAGCAGTAAAATGTTATAAACTGGCGTATTTATAAGTTCACTTGATCGTATTTACATGATTTAGTTTTTACATATAATGTACATTATTTACAAATTTATTCAACATTTTATACAATACGACGCGCGCCACCCACGTGTCACACAAATTATTATTAAATAATCACACGCATTTATTCAATATACGACTTTAAATACTAGCAAACCAAAGATAATAAGGTAATAATTTACTCAATCCCATACTTCGCATCACCCTGCTAATAACTTTAACGAATTAAACGATCACACGCATTCATACAATATACGACCCTAAGTACGAGCAAATCAAAGATAATAAGATAATAATTGCCTAACCTTATTCTTCGCATCAAATGCACCTGCTAAAAGTCAGGGTCACGTGAAACAGATAGATTTAGTATTCCTGTGGGTGCGACGGAGAGCGCATGCTGCCGCTGTCTCGCTGAGTGCCGCGTGTAGTATGAACTATGAACGAAGTACGAAACGATTAATTCACTTCGCACTTCACAGAATTTCGCAACTACATTTCATTTGTTAAATGCTAAATGAGCATTCGCATGCTAATAATGAATGCTAATGCTAATTAATCCATCACTAATAGGTACCTACGCGCCGTCGATATAATATATAATAACGGCTGCTTATTCGTTTTAAACTGCTGCATTGCATTGTATTGAATTAATAGCTGGAATAAAAAAGGCTGTTTTACTTCTCAGTCATCCGATGGCTGCCATCGTGTAATAAACAAAACACGACGTAAAAATTTTAAGAAATAGTTTAAATAACAACGAATTGACGACGTAAGTGATTGCACGTATTACATTGAATTTAAAAAATAAATATAGGAAGTTAAAAAGCATAAGATAGTTATGATAAAATACTTACCTAGAAAGGCGATCGATGAGCTGTGATAGATTTATTGATGCGACACTAATACAATCAGTATTTTCCCTTCGGTTGATCGACAAGTACTAAATTTTAGTAAATAATAAACATAAACAAATGTTTAATACAAAACACTGAGAGAGATCGACGAGGGAGTTTTCGAATATAGCTTCATCCCTTTCGCACGCACGGTAACCAGACGCGTGCTGCCGCGATCTGCGATTCCTCCGGGCGAGCGGGCCCGAATTTTGAACTATGCCTACTAATAATGTTCGCGGAGCGCGTCTCACTCCGCGCTCTCGTCGCGCCCGATCACATGGTCCGTGTGCTGTGTCCCTGGGTATCGGTCGAGTTGATATTGCCGCAGTAAAACAAGAGTGAAATTTCTGTACTCGTACTATTATTTATTCTGTGCTCAAAGTTAAGTAAAGGACGAGTTGTCCATTCGTCTGTAAAGTGTGAATTTGGCCGCCCTCTGAACTTGCCGCCCGGGGCTGGGCCCCGGCTTGCCCCCCCTAGATCCGGGGCTGGCGTTTTATCGCGGCGCGCTTTCCGTTGCGCTTGGAGGTGACGGTGGTGAAGTTGGACTCCCCGGTTCCGTCGGAGTCAGAGGACTCCGATGAACCGGAGCCTGAGGTGGTGGCGGGCCTCTTCCGGGAGGTCGGTGCCGAGGATTCGGAGCATGCGTACTCCATTTCTAAGGGGGCAGATTCGAGTGGGGCAAAGGAGTTCCTCGTTTCGAGGTACGACTGTAATACTGGCGGTGGAAGGAGTGCCTGAGGGGCAGGGAGGGGAGCCTGGGCGGCGATGGTGGCGATGGCGGCTATGACCGTCTCATTGCCATTTAACCCGTATTGGGTAATGAGGGCGGCTAGGGACTCAGTGAAGCTAGAGTTGGCCATTTCGGTCGAGTAAGCTAAGCTAAGTAAAGTAAAGGTGAGGACGGGTCCCTGCTCTCGGTAGAACAGGGACTAGAACGCGAGACGTACTACAACACACTATGCACGTAATAGTAATGCAAGAACACAAGAAAAATGACAGTACACAAAAAAAAAATTGAAAATGAAAAATGATAATGAAAAATTATAATGAAAATGAATGAAAATGATAATGAAATGAAATGAAAAACGAAAATGAAAGTGAAAAATGAAAATGAAGCGGAGGTGAACGAAGTGACTCACCGGCAGCCTCGACGCTGTTCCGCGTGAGCAGGACAGCGGAGGCGCGTGAGAGCGAGACAGCACTACCGTACTGTACGGGAGCGCGGACCACCAGGAGGCGACCGTCCGAGAACGATGCCACCGGCGGACTGAGCACTGCGTCGGCGCTGCACAGCGCGAGCGGGCCAGCGGAGGCGCGAGAGCGGGAGAGCACTACCGTACAGGAACGAAAGCGCGGACTACCTGGATGCGACCGCTCGGAAGCGATGCCACAGGCGGAATGTGAGGGCGCGCGTCGGTCACGCGTGCTTTATATATCTTCGGTTCCGATAATTACGTGATATTCTAGAATCATCTTCTTTCCCCTCCCACCCCACCACCCCGATGTGTCGATAGGAGGGTATGAATGATATCGTTTTGGAAAGGGATAACCGATTTGGCAGCCTACCGTCAAATTAAATAAATACGAATGGTTTTCCGCGCAACCACCTTCAATAGACCGTTAACGCCTTTCTTGAAGAACTGACCCTCCTATTTTCCACCCACTTTCAGAACCTTTGCTGTAACTTCATCCTCACACGAGACCCTGCCATTTTTAAGATGCTGGAAAGCCATTCTAATCTCGCTCTTGAATTGCGGAATATCATCATAATAATGTCGGATGAGACTGCTTCTTGGATTGATACACATTTTTGCATTAATTGGCTACTTCATTATTGTAGCCAAATAGGCTACAACGATGCTGTGCACGGTTGTCAATAAAACCTCTCAAAAATCTCACATGTCCTGGAGACGAAGCTACCACAATAGTTCTTCAACTTTGACAGCTGGTTTTTAACAAAAAAATCTATGGCAAAGACTTTAGAGCCTCAGTTCCACTTCGAGCTGTATTGAAGTCTCGTCAGTTTCAAAGCATGCATCTGGAGATGGCTGCTCTCATATCTATTGAAGACTGCAGCTTCATTTCCTAACAGCCATGAGATTAACCAATATTACCACCCTTCCTCCTATCTTAAAAAGTATCTTGAATAAATATATCGATTTCATATTCTGTCATGACCCCCTTGCTGCGCCACTGCCTTGAGAATGGGATGTTTCAATTTACATACAAATGTAATGTTATCGACATTTTACAGATTAACGTAATGATTCTTTGTGTTATTTTGAACTGAATGCAAATATCCTCAACAAAAAAAAAACATTTCAATTCTCGAAAGTAAAACCAATATTAAACGTATCATAATAATATTATCGTTCTCAATTATAATAGCAACCCCAGCTGCTTGTTTATTTGCTGCCGCCCGGAGTTGCTAGAAGCGAAAATGCTGCCCTTAAATTTCTTAAAAATATAAATTAGGTAAAAGTGCCCTGCATATCTATAATATGAAAGTAAATAAAACAATATAACATATTTTTACTTACCCCTACTCTTAATAAATGTGTATGCAATTCAATTGTGCGCAATAAGATCTACGGGCACTATTTAAAAATGCAGGGAGTTTAATTTTCTTGCCCTAAATACCTCCTTACAAAATGTGCTGATGGAGACATGACTGCTCCATTGTCACGACATGATAAATACACAGTGTATTTTGTTTTAACTTTCCATAATTTTATAACTCTACTTTTAAAGTTTTTAAATGTTGCTAAAAGCTTTGATAAATAAATTGAAGAACGGTCTACGATTCGATTTATCTAACTCCAAACAAATTGAGTTGTAATAATCAAGCAGTTAAGTGTTTGCACAGATTAAATTGTGCACATCGAAATCAGAGCGATCTCAAGGGCAACGACCTAATCTTGTAGTTCTGCAAATTATAGATAAGCTGCGAGTGCCATAAATTACCCTATGTTAAAAAAGTTCACCGAGTAGGAGCTCAAAATTAAGGAATGTGATTTTTTTACTTATAAGAAAGCACTTGAAACTAAACTATCACAAAATGTTGTTGCTCTCCATGTTTACACTGTACGCACCCAAAAGCAGGGAACATGAAGGGACGACCCCGAAGTACATACGGAAAACTGCAAAAAATGAATTTTACAGAACGACGTGACACGGCTGTTTGAAGGTTATTAGTAAAATATTTTCTTTGCCATTGAACAGATTTCAATAAAACTTGACAAAGTGGCTTAAAATTCAGTTGTTCAAATTATGAGTGACTGCTTTTAACTGTAAAGTGTTGTACGTATTTTGGTTTTTAGTTCAGATGTCTTCTAATACTTTGTAATTGTATAAATGAGAAGTAAAACATCTACCAATTCTCCGGTTGTATACCGATGTTCATCGTTGAAGAATATAACCATCCCTGTGTTTGTTTAAGCGATAAGTATCTATAAATATAATTACAGTTCTTAGCTATAGTATAAAATCTCTACATAATATTGTTAATTTTTGATTAAAATTTCCTTAACTTCTCAAATGTTTCATTTTCCGTGGTAATTTTTTTGCGTGTATAAGAAGTTATGTGCCACTAAACGTTAGACTGGGATACATAATAAGTGGTAAAATTAAGAAATTTGTACAACCGACTTCAATATAATTAAAATGAGAACATCATCAATGTATTCGAAGCAATTTAATACGCATTATCGCAGATAAGTGAAAAACTATTATTTATACGAGAAGCGCATAAAGAAAACATACGGTCGAATTGAATACCTTCTCCTTTTTGAAGTCTGTAAAAACTCAAGATGAGGCATATTAGAACAATACTTTTTTAATCATAATAATCAATGGTATAACCGACATAAAAAACTTAATTTTAATAAATTAGAAAAATGAACCATATTATTTGACATAAAAATGGAATCAAAAAACCGTGACACACAATTACTTTTTAAATCATATCTTTATCAGAGTTTTGTCATAGACTTTTACCTCAAAATGGAAAAAAAATAATAAAAACAATGATCTATTTAA